TTACTATTATCAGGAGATTTATTAGCTAAAATATCAGTGACTTGTACCGACATGATTCGACATAACTGCAGTAGGGCAGAACTGCTCTGTAAGCTTACAACTGGAGATAAGTCATGTTTTTATATTTTACCCAAACCAATCCCTGACTATCATGGTTATCAAATATATCTAATAAAAGTATGCAGTAACAGTAAATTTATTCAAGTGCAGCCCAGTAGTTGAGTAAATCAGCCTTCTGTAGCCCAAAACAAGCATTTATTTATCTGACATGACAAAATATATCCCAAACTTTGAGGGAACAGATAATACAATCATTCTGTACTGAACAAATTCAGAGCATCTTCATTAAGCTTGCAGCTGGATAGGTCTGTGCAAGATACCATGAAACTCTTGACTGAATTCTCTCACTCCGATTTTTTTTTTTTTCCTATGCCACCTGGAGGGGATCTCTATCTTTCTCAGACACAATTATGTTGATTTTGTTCTGTAGGTGGATACTTAGCATGTCACACAGCTCTGACAAGAAGCCTCTCTCAGTGTTACTGTGCTCGCACAGAATAACACTTATCCCATTGGCAACTGCATCCAGAATGTCATGGTGGGACATCTCTCCTGCCATTTTGAGAAAGAAATGCCATGTAGATCACCAACAGTACAGTTTAGGTAACCGGTTCTTTGCAATGTATGCAGAATCTTAGCTAGAAGCTGAGAAGACCTAACAGGGGATATAGCCCATAAGGGGGAATGCAACAGCTCAGTTTAAGAATGTGGAACACTCCTATTCTAGTGTCCCTTGAAGGACTTTCAGCTGATAGCCCTCGTATACAACTAACTGAGACAAAACCACAGAAATTTCTCGCCCTCTTTGAATAGTGGCAGATTCTGCCACTTTGGGCAGGAAATAGAGTGTGCAGAGTGGTTTGGAAGTGGACTGTCTGGATGTCATGTGGGTTGCTGTGATGGAGGACAGCAGCTGGCAAGCCTTGCGAAGAAGTTGTCTGAGGGTCAGCTCTGCAGGGCTGTATGTAAGGGGCAGATGGGACACACCTGGCTGAAGAACTTCCTTGAATTAAGTACTACAGAGGGCAAGGCAGCCTTCACGTTGCTAAGCAAGCTGTAGGGAGTAGCTGTCCCACTGTTGGAAAAGAGGATAATGGTCTAACTGTCCCTTTGGTCAGATACACTACGGGGTTCCTCTGGAAGATTCTGTAGACTACATTCCATTCCATTTTCCATTAGGGAATTCTGTAGGGAACTGAGGAAATACCTTGTATCTTACCAAAGGACAAACACACCAAAGGTTGCAATAGACTGCCATCAACACTGATTTTGTGTTGAAATAATGCATGTATAGCAATGTTTTAATTCAAATAACCTTCACTGTGCCACACAGCCATCTGACCCATGATATCTCTATTTTAATGTTATTCTTCTATCATTCCAATAACTGATTGTTTCCCAACTATAACAGGTAATTCTTTCTGGCCAAACCTTTCAACAGCCAGTCAACTCCTTTCTTTTTTCCCTTTTTTTTCCCTAGTGACTACTTTTATAAAGATAATGAAACAGCAACAAAATCTTTTACCTGTGAGATAGAGGTCAGCTTCCATTCCCTTCAGGACACTGCTCCCTGAACCAGCACACAGAGCAGCTTTCTTCACTGGTGATTCTGCAGGATACAAGGTGTCACAGTCAAACCCCTTCCCCTCTGTTCACCCCTCATGTCAGTATTGCTATGAATTGTTTCTCAATAGCTACTACCTTGATTTTAGGGTCAATGTAAATTTGTTGGAGGAAGAGACATATCTGTCTGTCTGAAACAGTCAGAGGCCTATAACGTCTCTGATAATACAGCAAAATCCTCTGTCTACCAAATAGATCTGTATTATTTTTTCTTCAAGGGGTAGGAAAATTTGCAGAAAACTACAGCATGGAAGCTAGCTGCTGGCTAGGTCTCTCCTAGTGAGGTGTTGCTTAGTTAGGTTTCTGAACCCTTTAATAGGCTGCTACTCTTTCCAGGACTCTCATGTTCCACCATCATTAGTTTTCCAACTAATCATGCCATGAAGGCAGCATTTTGCCTCTGAGATATACTGGTTCCTAGCTTTTAGCTCTCAGCAGGCCAATCTCAATGCAAGCTGAGAGCTGTTCCGTGGCATTAAAAATCTGCCCGTTTGCTATGATTGCCGATCCCAAGCTACTACCTATGTGCTAGTGACAGGAAATTTAATTCTCCGTATATATTACATTCACTAGGGAGAGGGTACACACAACAAAGAGAGAGAGTTTTCCAATTCTGTTAAGGTTTTACAGTACGTTCCCATGTAATTACTGTAAAGTGGAGTCACACCACTACAATCCCACACCATAATGAGAGGCGTCAAAATAGTCTGGGTGTTTTTTTAATGCAATTGATAGTATAAGAGACTTCTAATAAGACTTCTTTCTGTCTCATAGGTTACAAAGCGTTCTCAACAAATTTGCTCTCACAAATTCTAACAGCTGTGCTCCTTGGAGATTAGGATAGGTAACTGGGATAAGAGGATGCTTGCTTTACTAGTGACCCGCTGTTTGAGCTAGGATAGCTCACCTTCTTTGCCACTATTTCTCTTTCATCAAAACATGGATGGTTACATGTTTGTAAGGATACCATAAAGTGCCTTATTATTTTAAGGTGCTTTGAAATTTAACACTCAGTCACAAAAGGGAGTGTACAATGAAATGGTACACATTTGTGTTCCTGGGAGGAAAAAAAATCTTAGTCATCATAAAAATGATGAAAAAGGATGTCTCGTATTCAGCTTGTACTGTCCCTTCTTCACAGTGACAATCGGCATAATATAGAACTTCTAATTAAAAATACAGATGAGATTCTTTTTGCGTGATTGTATCATGTAAATTCTAAAATGCTGTTTCTTGTCTTTAACAGTGCTTCATACTACTTGGAAGTAAACCTGTCCAAGGCAGCAGTATTTCACACACTCACGCACACACTCTCGCTCCTTGTCTTCCTGGAATACTAGTTCTAATGGACAGTCTTACTTGCAGGCCTGTTTACCTAGTGTCTTGCCCATTCCCACGGCTAAGCGGATGTGGGGTAATTTTAGGTGGCTTTTGATACGCTCGATTACGTCTGACAAGGAGACTGGCTCGCTCAAAGTGCACAGGCGTCCCATTCCAGTGTGGGGAAGAAGAGGCTGAAAAGAAATTAAAAATTACTGTGAGAAAGCTGACTCCAGAAGTTCGCATTGCTTTCCATACTACAAAGATGAGAGTACATTGGGCATTCAGGAAGGAATGCCTCTGAACTTTATGAAAAAATAGGTATGGGATATTCTCAAATGTCACAGACTGACTACACTAGCTATGGGAACTAAATTAAGAATTAATACAGGCCACACAGCTATTTTCATTGTTTTGGAAAATGTGCACGGCTTCAAATCCCCACAGGCCAGTATTTCAGAGCACCGATGGGGCAGCACAGGAAACCTGTGATGATACTACACTACTGGATTTCAGCGTTTAAGGCACTCAGCTCACACAAGTAATACATTGACTGGAACTAATATGTGACTTTGTTACCTTTTGTAATAAGAGAATCTCGGTCTTGTGATAAAGAAGGCTGTTCTGGGACAATAATGCCACCACCTCCAACAGTGCTTTCTGAGAGCAGTTCAAAGTGACTCGTGTTTGCTCCTCACCTTCAACCCTGAGGACAGATATACTTGGTGCTTGCAAAGAAACTAGATAAAATTTCAGCATCATATTAATATAAAACAAAGCTATTCTATCCCAGTGGCTATTCTACCACAGAGAAAGGAAAAAAGAAGGCACTGTAATAGCCTGGCCTAGTCTAGTCTACTCTCTTGGAAGAAACAGATATGGGCATTTAACTCAATTGTCCTCATCAAGTTTCCTGTTAATACTCTTCTTTACCACCTCTAATCTATGTGATGCTACACTGAGTTGCTGTTACCACTTAGTGTAACATAGATTGATCAGAAAGGGATGATTATTCCTTTAAGTCTCTCGATCTGTTGCTGAAAAAAATAGCAGCAATGCACAGAGGAACAAAGTCATTATAACAGTAAAATACAATTCCAGCAACTTATTGTTTCAAACAACAGAAAAAATACAAAATTAGAGAGCAAAGCAGATACCTGGCAGGGAGAGTAGTGAGACAGGAGATCTCTTGGATGTCTTTGATTTTGGACAGCACCGTGTCCAGATGCTCAGTGTTGTCTGCGCAGAATTCTACTCTGTGAGTGCCCTCAGCTGGACAGCTTGGCGCAGTTGATGGGTGCAGTGGGACGGAAGTACAGGCACCTGAGAAAACAGTAAAAGATTGCTGTTTTATAAAGCTGGATAAGCATCCTCATACTGATTTAGCACATCTCCTAAAGAGATGCAACAAAAAGATGCAAATTTTGCACTCGAATCCATTTTCCTTGACCAGAACTGAGACTTCTTACCCTGCTGTCTCCATTAGGCACAGTCTATTTTAAGTGCAAAGAAGCTGATGGATATATATTATTTGTCATTCTTAATGCCATCCGTTTTATCCTAAGAATGGTACAAAACCATAATACTTTCTGGTTTGTACACCAGGCTGGAAAAGACCTAGCTGTTTTCATTTACAAGCCACAACACAGGATAAAAATCTAAAAGAATTTCTGATACCTTAAGTCCTTTGCAAACAATGAGATCTTGCACTTTACAAATTAAAGGTGGTGATTTAAAGTCAGTAGTCTGAACTTTGCAACCAAGATGGACAATAAATATGCTGCACCAGTTCTGACTACATCCAACAGTTCAGTCATGCATCTGAAAATGTCCTCTAGTGTTTGCATCTGGTAGTCCTCACCAAGACAGATTCCATAAAACTTGTTTAGGGTACTTAGAAATACTAGAATATCGGGGGGGGGAAGTACTCAAATCATACCTGTAAAAGCTGGAAGAAAGGAAAATAAGGGAAGGTCCCCACATAACATATACTGATAATTTTAACTTTTTGCGTTTGTTTTTAACAGAATCTCACCGAGTCCCTTTGTTAGCCAGTTATTGACTCCATGAGGTATGGCATCGTACGCCGTATGCGGAGAGTAAATCCCGATTCTGTGCTCCAGGGCTCGGACCACCAGCCGTTCCTTCCAGGTCTTCCACGTTACTCGCTTGAGTGGCGTGAATATAGGCGGGTGGTAAGAAAGAATAAGGTCTGCCTTCTTCTGCACTGCCTCTTCCATCACCTCCTCAGTGAGGTCATTAGTGAGGAAAAGGGTGTTCACAGTGTGGGGCGGACTTGGTTCCACCAGCAGCCCCACGTTGTCCCAGCTTTCAGCCAGAGAGAGGGATGCAAAGTCATTCAGGGCAGCAACGAGCTCCCGGAGATTCATGAGGGAGCGTGAGGGCAGGCGGCCCAAAGCGCGGATGCAGCGGAGAGGCCGGCGAACCAGCTGCCTGCCAGGCAGCAGCATGCAGCTGTCTGTAGAGGGGGTAAGAAACAGGCAGGAATAAGCCTCGGGAATTCACTGGCTGGCACAGCCGAGGTAAGAGCGCTTAGGGTGTGAACCCCGCCCCC